TTATGAAAGGAAAGTTGCATGTAAAGGATAAAATCCAGACTGAAAATGTGAAACTGATTCAGAGAATGAAAAGGAAATGTGCAGAACACTAAATGAACAGTTCCAAAGTGTGTTTGTGCAATGCCAATTTTAGAGAACACCATAGCGTATATGGAGGTGTCTTCAGATAAAGTGGAAAAATGACTCCAGGAGCTAGGAAGAAAAAGCAGTTGGCCCAGATGGAGTTTCACCTTGGGTTGAGAGAATGCACAGCACAGCTCAGATATTTACTTCAACTCGTATTTCAGACATCTTTTCATACAGGAATCTTAGCAAGAGTATATGGAAAAATGCAAACAATTCCAACTTACAAAAACAGTATCAGAGAAGACCCTCTATATTATAGACCCATAACATTGACAAACGTGGTAATCAAAACACTGAAAAAAGTTAAAACCAAAGGGGGTAAACTACCTAGAAGAGAAAAATACAATAACAGACAGTATGGTTTTCAAACAGGAAGATCTTGTGCAACAAATCTTAGTTTTTATGACAGAGCCACAGATTCTACAGGAAAGAGATGGTTTAGTTGACAGTTTATCTGAGCCTTCTCTTGAGGTTATCTTGAGATGATTTCGGGGCTTTAGTGTCCCCGCGGCCCGGTCCTCGACCAGGCCTCCATCCCCCATGAAGCAGCCCGTGACAGCTGACTAACACCCAGGTACCTATTTTACTGCTAGGTAACAGGAGCTTAGGGTGAAAGAAAATCTGCCCATTGTTTCTCACCGGCGCCTGGGATCGAACCTGGGACCACAGGATCACAAGTCCAGCGTGCTGTCCGCTCGGCCGACCGGCTCCCTTAAATAAAAGCTTTTGACAGAGTCCCACACAAGATGTTGTTCGGGAAGCTGAAACTTGCTTGAGGAGTGACAGGCAGACTGCTGAGGTGGATAACAAAATTTCTGACAGATGAGGGCAGTAATTAGAGGCAATGTCTGAGACAATGAGCACTTTGGTGGTCCAACTTTTCTAAGCCTTCCCAACAATAACCAATGTTCTTGACTCGTCCAATGGCTCAAGGGCAGCACAGCGATGCAAAAAATGTTTACAATCTTCTAGTATTTCCCAAGTTATTTGCTGGGCTATAACAATAAATTGTGTCAAAATGTTCACAAATGAATTGTGCAGAAATATGCCTCTTCGCACATTCCCCTCGACACACTAGGTGGAGCCCACTACGTAATAAGATGTTTACAATCATTTTATGTTATGATTGTAAATTTTATGTTATGATTATAACTATAAATTTGATATCAAAATGTTCACAAAATGACTGCTAGAGAAAAGATGCAAAAGCAAGTGTATTTACAATAGATTATGCATAAGTGCAAAATGTATGAATGGTTATGAATAGCAATTTGATGATGCATTTTAACATTATAACAAAAGTATTAGCAGAGTACCACAGGGTTCAGTTCTTGCACCAGTAATGTTCATCATCTATATGAATGCTCCACCAGTAGAAATTCAGAACTGTATGAACATGTTTGCTGATGATGCCAAGTTACTAGGGAAGAAAAGACTTGAATGATTGTCATGCCCCTTCAAGAAACCATGTTTGCTGATGATGCCAAGTTACTAGGGAAGAAAAGACTTGAATGATTGTCATGCCCCTTCAAGAAACCATGTTTGCTGATGATGCCAAGTTACTAGGGAAGAAAAGACTTGAATGATTGTCATGCCCCTTCAAGAAACCATGTTTGCTGATGATGCCAAGTTACTAGGGAAGAAAAGACTTGAATGATTGTCATGCCCCTTCAAGAAACCATGTTTGCTGATGATGCCAAGTTACTAGGGAAGATAAGACTTGAATGATTGTCATGCCCCTTCAAGAAACCATGTTTGCTGATGATGCCAAGTTACTAGGGAAGAAAAGACTTGAATGATTGTCATGCCCCTTCAAGAAACCATGTTTGCTGATGATGCCAAGTTACTAGGGAAGATAAGACTTGAATGATTGTCATGCCCCTTCAAGAAACCATGTTTGCTGATGATGCCAAGTTACTAGGGAAGAAAAGACTTGAATGATTGTCATGCCCCTTCAAGAAACCATGTTTGCTGATGATGCCAAGTTACTAGGGAAGATAAGACTTGAATGATTGTCATGCCCCTTCAAGAAACCATGTTTGCTGATGATGCCAAGTTACTAGGGAAGAAAAGACTTGAATGATTGTCATGCCCCTTCAAGAAACCATGTTTGCTGATGATGCCAAGTTACTAGGGAAGAAAAGACTTGAATGATTGTCATGCCCCTTCAAGAAACCATGTTTGCTGATGATGCCAAGTTACTAGGGAAGATAAGACTTGAATGATTGTCATGCCCCTTCAAGAAACCATGTTTGCTGATGATGCCAAGTTACTAGGGAAGATAAGACTTGAATGATTGTCATGCCCCTTCAAGAAACCTGGACAAAATAATTGTATGGAGCACAATTTGGTAAATGGTATACAATATGAATAAATGCCACATATGGAAGTTGGAATAAGAGAAAATAGTCCACACACAATTTATGAATTATGTGGAAAAACAAAGAATTCTGACAGGAAAGATCTAGGGGTTGGTTCTGAACAGCAGCCTGTCACCAGAGTATCAAGTGTGAAAGGTGCTGTGTTACACTTTCTATTTTCAGAAATGCTTTTAAATGCCTGACAGTGAAACATTAAAAAATATGCAATGGTTGTATGGTGCCCATATCTCAAGAAACACAAACTGGAAAAGGTGCAAAGACAAGCTATGAAGTGACTTCCAGAACTGAAAAACAAAACCTACGAGGAGAGACTGGAGGTGTTATGCCAAAACTAGAAGACAAAAGAGATGATATGATCACTACGTACAAAACGATGTTATGATACATAACAGGAAGACAAAACGGACAAGAATTTTTGAAACGTGCAACTTCAAGAACAAGAAGTCATCGATTCATACTAAGGAAACAACGATGATGAAAAAATACTAAAAGCTCTCATTTGCAATGTGTGGTAGAAGGTTGGAACAAGTATGAAGGCTATGGAGACCAAAATCAGTAGTTGGAAAGCATCACATGACAGTACTGGGAAGACAGACCACCGTGAGTGTACCTCTCATCCTGAAACTACACTTTGGTAATCACAATTTCTAGCAGCTTTGTATACTTGCTGAAGATAGCATTAAATTTTTGTATCTCTCTACATTGAGTGATGGTACCCAATTATTCTGTGGTACCAATTAATTTTGCAGTTATATACTGCAGCATATTTATTTCCAGATTTTATACAAGTCAGATATAACAACTTGACTAGAGTACAAATGCTCCACGTTGCTGAAGAGGCAACAAGTGGACCGGGACAAATTGAACAAGTTCCACTAACGGCGGGGCAACAAGTGGACCGGGACAAATTGAACAAGTTCCACTAACGGCGGGGCAACAAGTGGACCGGGACAAATTGAACAAGTTCCACTAACGAAGAGGCAACAAGTGGACCGGGACAAATTGAACAAGTTCCACTAACGGCGGGGCAACAAGTGGACCGGGACAAATTGAACAAGTTCCACTAACGGCGGGGCAACAAGTGGACCGGGACAAATTGAACAAGTTCCACTAACGGCGGGGCAACAATGCAATAGTATTAACCAAGGAGCCTCGTAAATTTTCTCTTGTGTGCCTTCACAAGTGCATCATTCTACCCCTCTCATTCTCAAATCACTAAGTAACGGCTACCCATGAATGTGTGAAATGGGATAATAATAATGATATATATGTTCTTATGTTTATTATGCTTAAAAAATACTAATAAAATAAAATTTTCTGCAGGCTACCTGCTAAACAAATGAAACCTTCACAGCAGTTTAACATACCCATGTCTCCAATTTCACATATAAAGAGGAAATTAAAAATATAAGCAAGAATCATTTATGACCACTGTGGATGACCAATAAATTACCATTGGAAAATGTCTTGAAAATTAAACAATTGGAATAATTTAAAAAAAAAAAAAAAAAAAGGGTGAAAATTAATTCAGGAAATCAAGAGATACGACGAACTCAAAGAGTAAGTTCTTGAATGTTCTTATGCAAACATGAAAATAAAAACAATTTCTGCCAGGTAAACAAAACCAAATTGTTTAATTTCACCAACTGAAGCATGTGAAACATGTGATGGTAGATGATGATGATGATGATGATGATGTAGAACATAATTATCAAAAGGTGAAGACTTTAGAATATAAAAAAGGGCATTCATAGTACAGTACTGTACTGTACTTTCCATGCAACACTCCGTTTCCATTGTAATGGGTGATGCATCACCCTTCACACCATTGATTTTCACCATTATACTTAATACGTCTCTGCTTGCACCCTTTAACTATACATTAGTGCTCGCAACCAGTAAATGCTTTTAGATTTTATGACCAATTATCTCGAGTACAAATACTGATGAGATTTCAGTACTTCTATCTAATGTGTAATGGCTCAAGTGCCTTTGTTTTCTGCTCTACCAAATTCATTTTTGGAAGCAATACACTGATTAAAGCATTCACACAACACAAACTACTGTCCATCTGTTTCCAATAATCAAGGCATCAGTGACCAATGTATATTATGAAAAATACCTGCATACCATCAGTTCAATAATACTCAATACAAAGCCTATTTTAATCATGACCTTTTTATTTTGTTGACATTTTGCAAGCATCACTGCAATTGACAAGTGGTAAATTTGTTCTTCAAAATTGTGCTCTAATTACAACTTGATAAAACCACAGCCCAAAATACAAAAACAGAAAACTATACAAATTTAGAGTGAGCTGATGACCATGTCAATAACAGTTCCTCCTGAAAACTTCAATACCATGAGCAAGAGTTTCTTGTATATGACTACTCAAGGTCAAGAACACCTTACCAGGTGAGGGGCCACCTTCACACACACACACACAGTGTAGTGCACACGTCGGGTAACATCAACCCCTGGTTAGAAACTCACCCCAAGTCCTGCGTGCTATAAGGCTTAGTCTTCCTCCTCCTCGCCAGACTCCTCAGACTCTGTCAAAGGCAACAACAAACTTACAAGCTGCAAACAAAAGCTTTTATTTACATGCTTAAATATTTTTCATACATTTTCTACTATTCTCCTCCCATGATAATGATCCTTTATGTACCCAACACATGTTTATTAACAACGCACACACAATAATTCCTCTCAAGTAATGGCAACACTGCATCACACAAGTTGGCATATTATGAATTCTTATGGCTCAAAGTCAAAACAAAACTAGTCTATCACTGGTGTAAGATTATGACTGGAAAATGTTGACCAAATTACACGCTAGAAGTTGATGAGATGACGAGGCTTTGGTCCGTCCTGGACCATTATCAAGTCGATTGTAATAATCGACTTGATAATGGTCCAGGACGGACCGAAACGTTGTCATCTCTTCAACCTCTAGTGTGTGGTTTGGTCAACATTTTTCAGCCACGTTATTGTGACTTAATATGCATTATAACTGGGGAAAAAAAAAAAAAGTACAGAACAATAACCGTCACATTATCTGACAATTATTAATGTTTTATATTATTGTTCCAAAGCAAAATTATTAATTTCCTTCGGCAAATTCTGTCACCACTGAACATTTTAACAATGATCAGCCTGAATAACAATATCTGTTATTGTTATTCAATAACAGCCTGATGATGATAATATCACCAGTAAAATTTAAGGGGGGCCATATCACCAAAATAATTTAAATATTTTTATGAAATATGCTCTTTCAGAATGTTTCTTTAGCCTATTCTCTTACTTGAGCTCAGTTTGTTTTTCAAAACGGATATCTTATAAGTTTAGAATGTTGTTTTCAAACGCTGACTATTTTTAGTTTACAATACTGAAACTTGGGCTTGGGGTTTCTGTACCTTGCAAGTCAAATTTTGTAAATAAAGCTTCATAAAAACTTGAATTTGTTAATGTTACCAATAAGAATAAATATGATTAGGGTCCCTTAATACCTGTGCAACTTTTCTATACCATTTACATAAACACAGTACTTTCTGGAAATGAATAATATGGAAGGGGGGGGGGGAAGGGGGATGGGGGTTTAGATGGAGAGAGTGGAAGCAGAGATGGGAAGGCAAGGTGGAGGTAAGAGGCTGGGAGAAAAAATGGAAGGGAGAAAGAAAGGGTGAGGTGACAAGAGAAAAGAGTGGCAGACAAAACAGAGGAAGAGGGAATGAGGAAAGACAAGAGAGAACAGGAGAGAGAGGATTAGAAAATTATCTACACTAAAAAAGTTCTATGAATGGAGAAGACAACAGCAAGGTAGAGGGCCTCTCCATCCACCACTGTTTCTGGCCTACACTTAAGGTTATCTTGAGATGATTTCGGGGCTTTAGTGTCCCCGCGGCCCGGTCCTCAACCAGGCCTCCACCCCCAGGAAGCAGCCCGTGACAGGTGACTAACTCCCAGGCACCTATTTTACTGGTAGGTAACAGGGACATAGGATGAAAGAAACTCTGCCCATTGTTTCTCGCCGGAGCCCGGGATCGAACCCGGGACCACAGGATCACAAGTCCAGCGTGCTGTCCGCTCGGCCGACCGGCACTGCTAACAGGTCAAAACCGCGCCATTCATAAATACATTATGCAAATTTTATTGGCAAAAAAAAAGAAATAATGAGATGACTTTACTACTAAACTAAGGCTTGTGTGTATCAATGCCCCCACAACAACTATATTTAATTATACAAATAGTTGCAAAATACCTTTCTGGCCAGTGTTAGTGGTAAGGTAATAAAGAAGGTTCAACGGCAAGGAAAAATGGGGCTAGAGGTAAGGGTAAAAAAGGGGGGGGGGGGGGGGGGGGCAGGGGTGTAAAAAAAAAAAAAAAAAAAAAAAAAAAAAAAAAAAAAAAAAAAAAAAAAAGGGGGGGGGGCAGGAAGCAGGGGGTAAAAAAAAGGGGGGGCTAGAGGCAGGGGTAAAAAAGGGGGGCTAGAGGCTGGGGTAAAAAAAGGGGGGCTAGAGACAGCAATAAAAAGGGGGGCTAGAGACAGCAATAAAAAGGGGAGCTAGAGGCTGGGGTAAAAAACAAGGAGGGCTAGAGGCAGGGGTAAAAAAAAGGGGGGGCTAGAGGCTGGGATAAAAAAGGGGGGCTAGAGGCAGCGGCAAAAAAAAAGGGGGGCAAGAGGCTGGGGTAAAAAAGGGGGGCTAGAGGCAGAGGTAAAAAAAAAGGGGGGGCTAGAGGCTGGGGTAAAAAAGGGGGGCTAGAGGCTGGGGTAAAAAAGGGGGGCTAGAGGCAGCGGTAAAAAAAGGGGGGCTAGAGGCTGGGGTAAAAAAGGGGGGCTAGAGGCAGGGGTAAAAAAAAGGGGGGCTAGAGGCAGGGGTTAAAAAAAAGGGGGGGCTAGAGGCAGGGGTAAAAAAAAGGGGGGCTAGAGGCAGGGGTAAAAAAAAAGAGGGGCTAGAGGCAGGGGTAAAAAAAAAGAGGGGGCTAGAGGCAGGGGTAAAAAAGGGAAGCTAGGTCCAGCTCTACCCCTAGTAGACACTGTCTACTTGGGGTAGAGACAAAGGGGGACACTAGGGGATAGAGACAAAGGAGGACACCTAGGAATAAAGGAAAACAGAAGAGAGATAAAGTGTAATAAGCAAGATGATGGCACCTATCAAGACAGTACTAACCTTCTTCAGCATTTTGAAGCCATTCAATGAACTTCTTCAACTGATCCAGGAATATGGACTTGCCCTTGGTTGCATGACCCTCCTTGTACCACTTGAGGATCACCTCTTCCGACAACACTTCAGCTGTAACAAAGTAAGCCGGTCACTTCACTTTTCACAAGACAATTACTGACACACACAGGTGTGGTTGCTCATCTTGACTCGTAAAAGTTCAACTGTGTAATGTTAATTATTTATACGCCAGGGGCCAGATTCACGAAGCAGTTTACGCAAGTACTTACGAACGTGTACGTCTTTCCTCAATCTTTGACGGCTTTGGTTACATTTATTAAACTGTTTACAAGCATGGAAACTTGCCAATCAACTGTTATTGTTATAAACGGCCTCCTGGTGCTTCGGAGCTCATTAACTGTTTAATAATTGTAAACAAAGCTGCCAAAGATTTTGAAAAGGTGCACAGGTTCCTAAGTGCTTGCGTAACTTTCATGAATCTGGTGCCAGTACTTTAATGCCAAGACAAACTCATGTTTTCAAGAGTTGCCTGTAGGAGTCACTTGCATTGTCCTTCCAATACGTCATAGACGTGTGCATATCAACTATTTACCAACATATTTACAATTGGCATATTGCCTTGAGAGATTTTTAGCTTAAATGTTATCTGCCTTATTAAGATTCTATTATGAAACAATTACTGACTGATTAACAAAAATAGAGTATTTCACGAGAAAAACACAATACAGTATTTGTTTCCATCAAACAATTACAAAACTACTCTCTTTGAATGCTCCCCAACAGCAAGATCTGTTTGCTTCATTGAAAACTATCACGAGAAGGCAACGGTAACAATATTGTGCACCGGTATAACAAAATCTTTTGCAATGCCTGTGTGCGCCCAAGCATTCTTGCAGTAGGCGCGCACAGGCATTGTTCTTGAAGCCATTCAATGCTTGCTTCCTCTTGCATGGACGAACGAACACTTGCTTGCTCTTGCATGGTTAAAACAATGTCATTCGACCTGTTAAATGCCTGCAGGCATCCTGAACTGACCTCTAAATTCCAATGGTTATCTTGAGATCTTGAGATGATTTCGGGGCTTTTAGTGTCCCCGCGGCCCGGTCCTCGACCAGGCCTCCACCCCCAGGAAGCAGCCCGTGACAGCTGACTAACTCCCAGGTACCTATTTACTGCTAGGTAACAGGGGCATTCAGGGTGAAAGAAACTTTGCCCATTTGTTTCTGCCTCGTGCGGGAATCGAACCCGCGCCACAGAATTACGAGTCCTGCGCGCTATCCACCAGGCTACGAGGCCCCAACCTCGGTTAGTGCCATTCTTTTATTAAGAGACCATAACTGAACCCCCAACTTCTCCATTCCTCCTCTAGAATAGTATATTGCATTTATTTACAGCATCAACCAATCCATCATCATAAATGTGCCTTATTAGTATTCTATTCAGTCTTCATCGGCCTTGGCAAGGTGGCTTGCTTGAGTTGGTACACATTTGGTTAGTCAGAACAATTGTATTTCTTATGAAGTGGCACAGAGAGAGAAGGATGAACAGCCAGTCCCAGACTATGATGCTGACAAAAGCACTAGTAAGCATGATCCAATTTCCCATACTAAATAGATTTGTATAACATCCCTTTCCACAACTGTTCTCCATTTTATTCACAAAGAGGCGATTTACTTCCTTTGCTTTTTTATGCCAAGCAGCACTAGTAACAATGCTCCTCTGCCAGCTGCTTACCTCCCCAGCCACCATCACACCTACAATAACTGTGCCTTGTTATCCACAAGTAAGGAAGCTGCTCTAACTCTTGTGGTTACCTTGTGATGATTTCGCGGCTTATCCCCACAGTCCGGTCCTCGACTAGGCCTCCTCGCTGCTGGACTGCTCAACCAGGCTGTTGGACGTGGCTGCTCGTAGCCTGACATACGAGTCACAGCCTGGTTGATCAGATATCTTTGGAGGTGTTTATCAAGTTCTTTCTTGAACGTTGTGAGGGGTCGGCCAGTTATGCAACTGATGTGTAGTAGAAGCGTGTTGAACAGTCTCGGGTCTCTGATGTTGATAGAGTTCACCCTCAGAGTACCTGCTGCACCTCTCCTTTTCAAAGGGGGTATTCTGCACATCCTGCCATGCCTTCTGGTCTCATGTGATGTTATTTGTGTGCAGGTTTGGTACCAGCCCTCTACTATTTTCCACATGTAAATTATTATGTATCTCTTACGCCTGCACTCAAAAGAATACAGATTTAGGCATTTTAATCGGTCCCAATATTTTAGATGTTTTACAGAGTGGATTCTCGCAGTAAAGCCTCTCTACACGCTCCCCAGATAAGCAATTCCTCTAGCTTTGAAAGGGTCTATCATTGTGCAACAGTATTCCGCTCAAGAGGGCATTAACATCTTGAAAAGTATCATTGGTATAGTATCTCTAGTTTGAAAAGTATCTCTAATCATTAAAGGTATCACTAATATCTCATATATAGTATCTCTAATAAAACACTTAATAATAAAGCAATTATTTAAGCGATTCAGAAGGTTGGATTTAGGAAAGAAAGGCCCCTAAACAAATTTGAAATAGCAAAAATTACTATTCTGCACCGGAGAATTTCCCCCCCAAAAAAATCGACAGGTCCAGAACCAAATGTTTTCTTTTATTCAAACTTTCGGTGAACTTTAAATCACTATTGAAGTATTGATCATAACCCAAAACAATTCTCTGACTCACACTTGTAGAAGAGGATGACTATCTTTTGAAACACTTTCATGAAGTTCATGTTGTCATAACAGAACTCTTGCACTTTAACCAGCAAGTTGAGCTCGGCACGATCCGTTGTAGTGTTGGCAGCAAACAGAGGAGCGTACACACGTAAATGCTTCAGTGCTTGGTCAGCTACCAGCTCCTCCTTTTTATTCCATTCCACTGCATCCATCACACTTGACCAGATCTGATAATGAACAATGATTATAACAATAACACTATGGTGTTAAGCTTTGTCATCCCCAGTATTAGAGACCCGTCCTCCTCCTCCTCTGGGAGATACAACTCTCAAAACAACAGCTTTACATGTAATATGACATTAAATATAAGTCAATTCTAAAGACTGAATACCATCTATTTATCTCTATCTATATAGAGTATCTACATATATTGGTGTATACTGGCAGTGGATTTTCATTTATACATGTTTCATTGCATATGACTGTATATTCTGTATTGATTTTCTTGTTTAGGGCTTCTATAACACGCTTCTAACAACAAAATGGTCAAAAATTTTCCAAAATGGTCAAAAATTATCAAACACATGTCAACTGAAATCATGTCTATGACCAAGCTATCACAATAGCATATAATAAAGTATTTCAGTATTTAGTTTTATACAAAAAAAAAAAATTCAAAATATTTGTTTTCTCTAATTTTTTTTTTCATATTTTATCGGCCAATTTGCATGAAACTTTTACACCTTACACAACTTAAGCCTATCTGTAAGGGTGCAAGTTTTAAAGGCAATTGGTTGATGTCAACCTCAACCACAGGTGGCAGAATCTTTGACTATTGTCAAGTAACAAAATTGAAACTTAATAAAAAAAACTTTAATTTTCATGACATTTACACCTTATATGTAGAGTGAATGTCTCTACAATGATTATAAAACACTATTATTCCTAAGTTCATTTATTGATTTTATAAATATTGGCAAACATGATATATTCGCATAAATTTTGGGGGGAACTTTGACTATTTGTATTTGTAAACATTTGTATTAGTAAAACATTTGTACAATGTTGTTGTTGTTGTTGTATATGATGTTTGGTGTTGTACAAACCACCAAACATTCGTATTAGTAAAACTAAACATATTTTGCATAATCCTTCTTATAAAAATCCTTTACTATATGCTAATGTGATAGACGAGTGTCATAGAAATGATTTCATTTGAAACCTTGTTGTGAATTACGGAAAATGTGTAAAATTCATTAAAAAAAAATCCTCCCTTTCTATTTAGGGTGCGATACTCAAACGTAGGATAGTTGCAGCCCTTTTTATATACACCTAGTAAAAAAAAAGTTTGAAGTTAAACAACTTTTAATTTTACTGTAATATGGCTCTTCCATAAGCTACATATACAACAATATCATTTATAATATTGGTTTAGTTTAAATACTTTACTTAACACGGCATTTCATTAAGAAAATAAGCTATATACCGTACTGATAAAGTAAAGCAGCACATTTTTACACATGATAATGGTCCACGACGAACCAAAATGTCTATTTTCTCTATTTTGTAAAGTGTTGATTGGTCAACAACAGCCAGCATGTTTGGATGAAAATTGACCCCACTTTTAAATATAGCAACTGTAAACAATTATCTTCAAAATCAATTTCATCCTGAAACTTACAGCAGAAACTATCTGTGGCTCCTGAATGCTGTTCTTTTTGGCTATCTCCTGCACCCCTACTATTATGTCCTTGACACTAGCGCCCTCGTTCACCTGCTGGCTCAGGTAAATCTGCAGCTCCTTCAGGCTCGTTTCTTTTTCCTGTTCAATAAGCAACAAAAAAAATCATTACATCAAGAGTAAACCAGTGGTACACACCTGTATACTCTAATATACTTAATATATACTAATATACTTAATATATACTAATATACTTAATATATCTAATATACTTAATTTGCTTATGGTTTACTCTTAAGTACACCATAAGCAATTTGGGAGGTCTTTCTGAGCTCAGCTCATTAACATCACACTGGACAGATTTCCCAGTAAATTGTACATATATTACATAAATTTAACCACAAATAATGGCAATGAAGATCATCTCACATTATGACCTATTAATTGTGTACAACTAGGCTATTATTGTATTACAGTACATACTGTATACAAATTATTTACTAGTAGCAAAATAGTACAGAACAGCATTATAAAAAACATTTTTGTTAACTATGCAAAACCAGTCAAAAATTTACACATATCCAAACATTCACATTTCTATTTTGTACTTAGAACTAGTTGGACTAGAAAACCATAGCCAGATTTAATAATGTAATTACAATTTTTTTTTTTAAGGTGGCTAAAAAAAAAACATCCCTTGTGCTGGTTTCAGGGATCAATTTCCCCACGGCCGGGCCTCTGACCAGCCCTCCCTCCAGCTTCATGGTCTGGTCAGAGCCAAAATAAAATGGGTACATTTGAACATTTCCTCTAATGTTTCAAACTACAAACTGTTGCATTGTCAATCAATATAATAAGACTCACCAAGTTCTTGTAGATACCAAGAATCTCCTCCAAGCCTTTCTGTTGGAACAGGTTCTTGAAATTCTCATCTGTTCGTTTGTTGGCCTGTAGGAACTCCATCAACCTGGAATCCAAGCCAGCTTTGCGAAGCAAAGATCGCACTGTGTTCAGGTCCTTGAGGTTCTTGGCAGTTAAGAGGACCTGTAGACAATAATAATTGGGGAAAATCAACATGTGACAATGAAAATATGGGTCCAAGTGAAATGCTAATTATTTCAACCTCGTGTGCGTTTTGGGAGGTTCATCATTTACGACGATCCAACCATGTTTGTGGCTATTTCTTTCAATATCATTATTTTGATTATTATTGCTACTAGATAACTAGATTATTAGCTACAATTATTTGAAAAACTTGGTCAACTTTTTAATAAGTTGTGTTGACTACCCAAATAAATTTGGCAATAATGACAACTTGCCAACTAATAATTTTGTTGAACATTGGCTATTAAACCTAAAACAATCAGATTAATTATATAAAAGGCATAGGAGTGAATATACAAAATTATATAATTCAAACATACTGTTGAGGATTTTTGACACCACTTTTGGCAGGATAATTCAAAATCTCAAAACCCCAATAATAAGTGTCATTACTAGATTCTAAAGTTGCTAATGGATTTTAATGAAATTTAAAAATACACAACCCAGCAGGCCTTCCCATATTGATAAGAGCATATATTGACAGTTTTGTAAATAATATTTTCTTTTTGGAGAGATTATAGATTATTTTTTTAATTATGAAAAATTAGAAATTTTGCCAAATTAGAAATGTTATACAAATCTCCATTTATTTGGCAACAGCATCAGGAAAATTTCATCCCAATATGTTAAGAAATGGATTATATATATTTAAAAAGAAAGAGTTCTGATTATATGAACAGCTGCTATTAACTGGAACTAGAAGTAAGAAGTGTCCACAATGTGGATATGCAGCCGTTGCATTTCTGGCATTACTGAGTAATACACAACACATAATAATGAGTAGGTTATTATGCTGTATTTGTTATATATCATAAAATACAATGCCCAATGCCAACATCTGTTAGCTTCACCAATGTCCAACAATTTTTTGGAGTGATGGGGTTCTACCTGGTTGATGGGGTTCTGGGAGTTCTTCTACTCCCCAAGCCCGGCCCGAGGCCAGGCTCAAGTGAGCAGGGGAGGGCACCAATTATGTTTTTTTTTTTTTTTAAGATTGATTGTTTTTCTCCTTTGTTTATAATCGGATTTTGTTGTGACTTCTACAGCTTGGGGAATGCATACCCGTCACTATGTATGTAAAGGGTGAACGAAATTGGTCAACAAGTTAATCAGTTAAAGGTGGCAGAAATTGTGACTTTTTTATGAAAAATGTACTGATTTCAAACTCTGTCCTCTTAAAAATAACGTCGCTTTTGGCTCGTATGCTCGCTATGGACAGAAGTGGACGTAATTTGAAATGAAATCGACTCACAAAAGTGACATACTGTCCCGTTTTCTGTTTGTTCTCTTTGTCTCTCCAAGTTGTATTGAAGAATGGGAACCAGACGCAGGCCTTATCACTTATTTAAAGTATACTTATTATCCTTATCCCTAATCACTATATTTGTTTTTTTAGATTATTTTTTCTTGGCTTTATTTCAACACACATTGACCTACAACTTTCACATAATTGAGTATGAATGCCAAGCAATATTTATTAAAACTTACAAGATATGACAAATTCAAACTATTATATTTATTGTCGAGAAGTTTACCTTCATTTTTCTCCATTACAGGATTTTCAACTTTGAGACAAGCTGTTAAATTCAATTTATGAGCGACTTTCACCATGTGTACATACTGTACGTGCAAAGTTGTTAGTTCTAAGGTTTCTTGGTATTTATTCATCAACCTATAACTTAGGGAGTTACAAATGTGTCTAAATTTTGTGTATATTTTGAAGGCCAAAGTAACTTTTTTTTACAGTATCTATACTCTCAAACTCAATTTGAAATTGAGTAAAGTGAACATTATATGCTATTCTGAACCCATAATGAATAAAATAAAAATTGGTGAAATATTAAATTCGTCTGCTTCATCTGAAATTTTTAAATTTTCAATTTTTAATATATTTTTTGTTTGTTCCTGTTCATGTAATGATATTGAACCATTATTAAAAGTTGGAGCATTTACCATGTAGATTACGCACAAAAATTTTGAGTGTGTTTGAGGAACTTTGAGAAACAAGTCCGCCGGTCGTTTAAACAAAATTTATCAACATGGGCCAATTTTTTTTTCTATTTAGATTTAAACTTGCATTTTATCTATTAATTAAATTGATAAAACCAAACTGCTCCCAACCTGAGTAGATTTGGTTTTAGGACAAGTGCCAAGTTCTCACTTATGGTTTTGATGTGTGAACTATATTCATTTTATACACGTAACATCCGAAGCCACGAAAAGCGGAGGCGAGATTCCAACAGCAAGAAAACTCACCTCACAAAGAAAATCTGCAGCAAGGCCATCCTTAATGAGATGATCCTGTAATAAAGTTGCTAGCACCTTAGGATCAAGCAGGGAGTCGCTGGTCCAAATAGCAACGCAACGTGCCAGGCGGATGCGGTCACAATCTCGGAACCCTTTGAGGTACACAAGCACCTGCCGGCACAAACATTATTACTACATGTGAACAGTTGTGCATTCTTCATCAAACTTCTTTTGCATGACCTAAACCTGCACAAAAACTGCATAAGAAACTAAAAAAAATTACACCAATTTCTAGGTTTAAATAGCCCACAATATTTAAGGAACAACATCTCAAACAAAGGATAGCAAATAGAAAAATTGTTAATTCAGACCTTAAGAAATTAAGATTTTTAATAGTACCAGAAATAATTCAAGTTTTAGCATCATATAAAACACATTACAGTTAAGTGTTGCCTGGCATCTACTAAGAACTATTGACGACTAACTGATTCACTCACCTTTTTCATCTCTTCATAGAACATCTTTTCCAGGTACTTGTAACGCCTCATCAACCTGGTGAAAACCGTTGCATAACCGCGTAATGTCTCGTAAGAGTCATCTGGTGCCCCAAACACGCACATGTCTGTGCGAACTGGGCCACTGTCGATGCCATCTTCAGAGATTCCTCCACCTGGAGCTGTTAAGTAAATACATGTTGAATTAACAAAGTGATTTATAAAAATATATCTGGTGCCAACGTAATCATTATCACTATTGGTCTTATCTTAGGGTTAGGTTTGCAATCTTGCCTCGGCTCCCCAACAGGCACAGTCAATGCACTGCAGGCGATGAGTCACAATAACGTGGCTAAAGTATGTTGACCAGATCACACACTAGAAGGTGAAGTGACGACGACGTTTCGGTCCGTCCTGGACCATTCTCAAGTCGATTGTGAGATCGACTTGAAGGTGAAGATCGCTAGTGTGTGGTCTGGCCAACAAAATCAATGCAATTTTTGTGCCTTCTGTACAGGTAATTTGTAATTCTGTAATTTTTGTTTGTACAGTAATTTTTGGACCTTCTTATATACTTTGACTGGAATAAGTTTAATGTTTGCACGAATTAAATGCATCAAAACCTGATGTCACCATGGCTGTTGAAGGCAGCCATGGTGCCGTGAGGTACTGCTTCGTCACTTCTTCACCGATTACTATAACGTCTGATGTTACTTCTGACTACCAGTCGCCTCGTCTTCATTTCAGTTCACATTTTACGACCTAGAATCACTTGCAGGGACGTTGAACCCCAAAATCAAAGCAAGCACTATTGACTGACTTGCTTTTCCTAATAGCATTTTGCTATTTCAGCAAATGCCTTCTCCTAATTCCTCTTTTTGTAACTGTATGGTATTGGTAATATTCTCACCAACTAGCTTTCATTTTTACCTTTTTTAATGTGTTAAATTCATGTTGTCCCATGCATGTTAGTCATGAGACAACATGTTTCACAATGTTTTAACTTTTGCACTGCACATTATGTGAATGCCAAGATGCCAAGACATTTTAGGCACTTTGCAACATTTGAAACTCCCGCTGGTACACAGTATTCCTAATCCGTATTCAAGGCCACCACGAAACATCTGCCATTTTCAAAAGTGACTTCCAATTTCTGGGACAGTGATCCTATGCTCAGGAAAGAGTTTTTAACAATATAGGAAGCTAAAACTTGTTTTGAATATAATTTTCCTATATCCATACAGATAATGCCTCATGTAACCCAGCTGCTCATGTTCCACACCCACTGCCTGTATTGTCACCAAAATATTCATAAATGTTTGTTTTGTGACACTATATATATGGTGTCATTTGATTTCCTTTTTTAAACCAAAGATCATGCCAATATTTGTATATGTATATTTCTTTATATCTATAATTTGATGAATGTGCAAGTTGCCCTAACTGCCACTTGCTGTTGTCTACGTCAGGCTGCGAGCAGCCGCATCCAACAGCCTGGTTGACCAGTCCAGCAACGAGGAGGCATGGTTGACAACTGGGGGAGCGAGGTTGCTAAGCCTGAAAACACCTCAAGGTAAGGTACATTTTATATCTCATTTCTCTGATTTTTAACAATCTCACCATTTTCTGTAATCTAATGCTTAAATTTGACAGCAGTTATCGTCACAAATTGATTCACGGAGTAATGCAGTTATCGTCATAAGACGATTTAAACAATTATTGTTTGGGTTTTCCATGTATGATGCATATATTTATATAATGGCTATCTGTGGATGGAATGGAGTTTACCTTGACCCATGACAAAAGTCCTGCTATCATTTCTTGGTTACGTTACTAGGTGAATGCAGTTACTTCAATACACACAGAAAACACAATAGCGTGATGCCTCAAATGAACAAATCCACAAGGGCCGTGACGAGGGTTCGAACCTACGTCCGAGAGGATTCCAGGCGTTGCCTGAATCGACTGAGCTACGACACGGTTAAAAGAACTGCAACCAGGAAATCATCAGATTTACCACAGTTCCTGCAGTCTCTCTGAGAGACAAACCAGGGTTTTACGCAATTCCCCCATGTACCCGAGCTATATCAATAGGCTGTTCTACCTCTTGTGTCAATAGGTTTGTGTCTCAGAGACTGCAGGAAGTGTGGTAAATCAGGATAATTTCCCTTTTTACAATTCTTTTAACCATGTTGTAGCTCAGTCGAGTAAGGCAGCGTCTGGGATCCTCTTGGACGTAGGCTCGAACCCTCGTCACGGCCCTTGTGGATTTGCTCAGTTATTTCAAATTTACTAGGAGAATGCAGTCATCATGATTGTATAAAATTCCATCATAATTACATTCTATGTATACCAATGATGTCCATATGGTTTCCACAATGGAAATTACCCTGAGATTACGATTACCCTGATGTAATGAGGTATACCAGGTAAACCAATCAATTGAACCAATGACATGGGTTACGTGTACAAGGAGCCTGGCAATCATGAGTGCAACATTGGTGGCTTACGCCTTTGCTTCAATCTTTTCTCTCGCCCATATGGTGCTACTTAGGCCATATGCCATCACCCACAGCCCACCACCATTGTATATTATTTTCAAATCCTTTTCACTACTTTATATTGGTTGCAATGGAGTATACTAGATAAACCAAGTGTCAATTGAAACATTATCATGCGTTTTGTGATTTATCAAATTATTCAACACCCAAACACTTTAAATAAAGAGAAACAAGTGATGAACAATTGGCGGGACATCCGAGAATAACAGAGGGGGCACCGGGCACTGCCAGGCACTGGGCACACCCACTACACAACCTTCCAGAGTGCCTCCACCCAGTCAAACAAATTTCACATTTTTGTGTTTTCTTACATTTTGTAAATTAATATTTCTAGAATGAAAAATTTTTCTTCTTATTTATTTGCTCATAGACAGTAAGGTCTGTCACAACAGCTGCTGGCCAAGGGTTAATCACATTAGCTTAACATAACCTGGATTAATTTAGTCTCAATTCACAATACCGAAATTCACCCATGCACTTTGATACTTTGCATAAAAGTGCTTATTCGCGTAACTACGTACTCCTGCACTTAAATGGCATGTTACAAACCAGTAGCTAATGAAATAATAATACTTACCGATAAACTATAAAAATCACATGGAAGGTTATCAACAAATTTGAATTTGAAAATTCAGTACAGTAGAATCTCAACACCACATGCAATATATTAATATATATACAAATGCTCTACATAGCACAGTAAAATATTAATTAAACTAGTTGTACTTAGTAGACACTAATACAGCAAGCTGAATAGTTTATAAAACAAAAACTGTTAAATTTAATGTTTGAAAAAAAGTGTCAAAAAGAAAAAGTACTCACTGAGGATGCCACCAGCAATAAGTATATCAAAGAGTGTTTCTCCGTAAGTGCGATATTTAAGCTTGGATCCTGCTTGATCAAGATACTTGTTAACAGCCTCTAAATCTGAGCCTGCTTCAATGAGACCCTAAAACAAAATATAAAGAAATCATTAACACATTATTATTACCCTCTATTATTATTCAGTAGTTATTTTCTTGAAACAAATATCTGTTAAGTCATGATCAATACAAATTTGCAGTAAATTCATCACCTCTAATAAAGACAAGTCATGTAAAAGGTGCAGGACTAGGGTAATGGGACAAATTTGCCTCAATCACACACACTGGTGAAGATAAAGCAGAAGATAATTCATACAGATTCCACAGAACATATACGGAATACATATACAAGGTAGAGCACCCAAATTATTGGAATCGTCTCGAGGCTCTCAAAATGTACTCGCTAAAAAGGAGACTCGAGACATCAAATATACACGTGGAAAATACTGGAGTTCCAGGTACCAAATCTACACAGTAAAACAACATACTGGAGTAAACGATATGGAAGAAAATGCAGAATAGAACCAGTGAAGAGCAGGGCTGCCATAGGCACAATCGGAGAACACTGTATAAACATCAGAGGTCCGTAGTTGTTCAACATCCTACCAGCAACAACCATGGACATCTTCAAGAGAAACCCTAGATCATTTTTTTCAAGGAGTGCCAGACCAGCTGGGCTGTGGTGGATATGTGGGCCTGCGGGCCACTGCAAGCAACAGCATAGTGGACCAAGCTCTCAAACCAACCCTGGCCTTGGGCCAGGGTTGGAGAGTAGAACAACTCCCAGAACCCTATCAAGCAGGTATAGTGTCACAATGTAATTGGCATCCACCACATAACTGATGGGTAAGACCCCCAGAGGTGGCACACATTAAGATAGTGATAAAGGACACCTCACACACAGCAGTGTACACACACTATGACAAACCCTCATGACTAGTGTCAATCACACCAGGCAAGTAAACCTGTCATAACAGTTACCTTCCCCTTAGTCAGTAATGTTAGGATTTGTTTACCTAATTTGCATTACAAACTGGCAACACAAAAGATGAAGTAAAATATACAGAAGTTGTAAAAGCCCTTTAACAACAATTTCGAGCAAACAGCTAGGAGGTAAAATGCAAAGACCATTCTCTGTAGACAATGATGGGTAAGTACCATAGGTGCATATAACCAGCTAAACATCCAAATATGAAGAAAGCAGACAACTGGTTTACAGTTACCTTGAAAAGGAATTGTATAGAACTCTGGGAAGTCAATGCAAGAACCATTCTACATCCCCTCTACACCATGTAATGCTAGACAACCTAACCCACAAATATCCAAACTTGCCATGAAGTTGGTTCTGGCACCAAGGGAATGAACCGAGCGCGTGGAGGGCCTATGCACCGAGCGCGTGGAGGGCCTATGCACCGAGCGCGTGGAGGGCCTATGCACCGAGCGCGTGGAGGGCCTATGCACCGAGCGCGTGGAGGGCCTATGCACCGAGCGCGTGGAGGGCCTATGCACCGAGCGCGTGGAGGGCCTATGCACCGAGCGCGTGGAGGGCCTATGCACCGAGCGCGTGGAGGGCCTATGCACCGAGCGCGTGGAGGGCCTATGCACCGAGCGCGTGGAGGGCCTATGCACCGAGCGCGTGGAGGGCCTATGCACCGAGCGCGTGGAGGGCCTATGCACCGAGCGCGTGGAGGGCCTATGCACCGAGCGCGTGGAGGGCCTATGCACCGAGCGCGTGGAGGGCCTATGCACCGAGCATGGAGGGCCTATGCACCGAGCATGGAGGGCCTATGCACCGAGCATGGAGGGCCTATGCACCGAGCATGGAGGGGCTATGCACCGAGCATGGAGGGGCTATGCACTGAGCATGGAGGGGCTATGCACTTAGCATGGAGGGGCTATGCACTGAGCATGGAGGGCCTATGCACCAAGCATGGAGGGCCAATGCACTGAGCATGGAGGGCCTATGCACCAAGCATGGAGGGCCTATGCACCAAGCATGGAGGGCCTATGCACCAAGCATGGAGGGCCTATGCACTCAATTGTTACCACTTCACCTGCATGGAAACAGGATGAGGCTGTACTGGTTAATACTAGGGGGATACTAACAAGGCCACAGTGCCCCAAGACATATATTTTCCTCCCATCAAACATTAGTCATGCACACAATGTAGACAAAAAAAAAAGTAATTACAATTACATAATACAAAATATTTTGACCAAAAAAAGGATGACAGTTGGTTTCTGCAAATAACGCCACAATATTGGCAAGTGACAACTTACCTGCAAGATTGCATCACGAAACCCCACAGGGTCGTATTTCGCTTTCTCATCTCTCTTTCGAGTCTTTATGCGCTGCCCCTGGAGCGTGGGTTTTTCAGCTTTAGTAGTCATACAACAGACAACTGCAAAAAAGACAAATCAAAAGAAAAAAAAAAGGTTAAAACTTTAGTGCTATGTATAAGGTATAAAAATATACTTGCAAATATTTGTAATCTAAATTTAATCTATTTTAAATTTTAATCTAATCTATTTTTAATCTTAATCTAAAACAAAAATCTACTCCACATTTTATTTACAAGACATCAAGACCATACTTTTTAGATTCAATATTCCACAACACTCCACACAAGATCCAACACCTCCCTGCGTATCTATCATCCTACTTTATCATGCTTAAGGTTCAACATTATCCTGCAGATGAATGCATCAAGAATTTTTTAATATTATGTTTTCTTGGGGACAGTGTTCATAAATATATACTAGTATGCGAACAAGCCTCAATGGTCCCCAGGACTATATGCAACTGAAAACTCGCACCCCAGAAGTGACTCGAACCCATACTGCCAGGAGCAACGCAACTGGTATGTACAGGACGCCTTAATTTGCTTGACTATAAATAGTTATATACTAGTATATACATTATGCTTATAACGCCCACCCATAGACAAACTACTGACAGTAGCCAGGATGCAACCTCAACAGTTAACTAACTCCCGGGCATCCATTTACTGCTACGTAAACAGAGAAATTAAGTAAAAGGAAACATGGCCAACCAATTATCCTGCCCGGAATCTGAACTCGGGGTTCTTTACGGTGCATAAAAATGTGGTAGATATATACGATGTGAGTATGTAGAGTAATAACAGCAAAAACTTTTATTGTTCAACGAATATAATATTTGTACGTGACACGAATACTGCACAGTACATCTGTTAGTACCAATATTCTACATGTTCTGTTATACAAATATTATTATTTACACTCCAATGCATCATTACACCCGAAAAAAAAAACATGGTAAAAACACTTAAAATGTGAAGGAAATACGATATATTCAATAGTTACAATTTCATATAAACAAATACAGGACTCTGCTGAACTCTGATAACTGGTTATAAGGTTATTACACTCGCCAGAAATGCCTATTGATTCACAAGTGTATAAAAATGAAGTTATATATATAAAACATGTGTATACAGTGTAACAAGTCTCTTATTGTCCTAAGGATAGGCTGGGCGACTTAATATGTGCACCATATTTTCCAGCATATCAATGTTCCACATACAGCATTTCATTACAACAATTTCTAAAATTTTAATATGTATTGAATATTACAGCAAAAAGCAGAGAAAAACACATTGAGACGTTAAAATAATTTTGAAACCCTATATTTGTGGCAAATGCCACCAGCCCAGAGGGTGGGTGGGTGGGTCTAGCATCTCGAGAGCACCCAAGTACTCGAGTCCAGAAATTCCTCGCCTTCTCTGCTCCATCACGGCTGATGTATGTTATATACAATGTGTTTACTGGCCTGTGATCGGGGCATGCATTTTAACACCAAAAGGGAACCAAATTTTGTGGAAATAACTGGTTTTCTGCGCACCATGGAAGCTCTCGAGTGAAGGCAATTAACTACCAGGATTAATGTCTGATCCCACCAATGATTATAAGGGGTCTGGCTGACAATGTTCAGATGTTGGAGAAGATGCACGATAAAATATTGTGAATTGGTTAGAGATGCAGATGATGCTGGATAAATATCTGACAGAAGGAAACTAAAGTACATATTACTGATGCTTAGTTTCAGGATTAAGGCAACAGACTTATGAAGAATGATTTAAAGAAGACCTTGGATATTTTGAAGGGCTCTTGGAGATGGGCCGACATGTAGAGTTGATATTCAGATTCTATCCACAGTTCTGGGTCAAGTAAATAATTATCGAAAGAAGGCACCAAGCCGGGAAGGCTTTTCGAGTTGCAGGGCCTCGATCAACCACATGTTCTATGTCTGTGTTGCGTCCATTTTGCCCATGTAGGAAGTGGGGAGTTATGAGAGGGAGGGGAAGACTTGGGGACACTAGCCGCTATCCCCAGCTCCGCGGAAGATGCCCACCTCTCATTAAGCCGTTCACAGTGGCTGTCACTTAGACCGGCGCTATACGTTAGGAATACCCAGAAACGTCCATTTGCCCTAATGAGCGGAGATCACAGATCCCTTCTAGGTGCGGGAGGGATCTGTTGTTCTTATTTAAGTGCGGCCGTGACCAGACGGTCCTTTAGGGACTTGCTGCGCTTCCAGGCCATAATGGGGGGGGGGGTTTCTTGTGTGAACCTGTGCCATGATGGGTGGTCAAAGGCACTATGGGCTCACCATAGCCCGTGCTACTTGGAACTTTGTTCCAGGTAGCAAATCTTTAACAACAACAACAACAGATGGGTGGTCGCCAAATGTTTCTCTTAGCCATGACCAAAGGTTGTGAAGTGCTAATTTCAGGGGACCTGCTAGACCCTTGAAGAACATTGCAGGTAGGATGCCTCTGTGTTGAGAAGCACGTCTTGTTGGTTGGAGGAGTTGCTCACTGGTGCGTTCCTGTAGGGCGGTTGTGGCGCATTGGAGGACCACCTCCGGGTATCCTCGGTTTCTGAACATCTCCCAGAGGTCTTGTAGTTGGGTCTGTAGTACTATCGCTGCTGTTGATTCTTTTTAGCCTGAGGCCCAGGGAGGAGAAGAGGGAGTTCTTGAGGGGTGCCGGGTGGCTCAAATCGTACCTAAGGTACGTATGGAGATTTGTCGGCTTGTAGTAAGCTCGTGTTGCTCTCATGACGATAAAATGACAAAGGGGACAAAGAACGACCTGCTCCGAGTAAAAGTCATAGCAAAAAAGTTTTAGTAGTAAAGAATATAAAGCCATGATTGTGGCCCAGGACGACACGGCACCAATCACGAATTGAAGCCGACGTTGGAGGAAAGGCGAGTCATCACCTCGACAGCAAAGGGCAAGTTCATCAAAAAAGAGCTGAGAAAATGCCAGAGGGACGGGAGGAAAGAAGACCATTGAGGGCAACAAGGAAAAAAAAAAAGAGTAGTGCTCAGAACACTACCATGGCGTACACCATCGTATTGCTGAAAAGAGGCAGAGAGTGGGGTACCAAACCTCACTAAAGGAACGACGAGAGAAAGCTTTGTAGGAAGAGAGGGAGATTACCATGAAGGCCAAAAGAACAGAGTTGGGACAGAATATGGTAGAGTATCTCCACGGGGTGTTGTACGCCTTTTCCAGCTCAAAAAGGACAGCAACAACGGAGGTTTTTGAAGCAAAGGCAATACGAATATAGACCGCCAAGTTCACCAAGACATCAGTCGTGCTGCAACACTTGCGAAACCCAAATTGAGAAATGGAGGTGGTGATAGTGTTCCAAGAACCACATCAGACAGACATTGACCATATGTTCAAAGGATTTGCAGACGCAACTCGTGAGGGCAATTGAGCAGAAGTCCTTAGGGGATGTCACACGAGACCCTGGTTTCCGAATAGGTAGAACCGCCGCCTCACGCCAGTCCTCAGGGACTGACGATGACTCCCATATAGTTATACAAGTTCAGTAAATACTGAAACGTGCATGCAGAGATGGTGAAGCATCTCATAATGAATGTTATCAGAGCCTTCTGCCATAGAACTGCAGAGGGTCAGGGCAAACTGGAGTTCGGGAAGAAGGGATCCTTATAGGATCCAGTTCGGTCGCGGCCAACATTGGATCTGCCACAATAGAACCATGGAGGTGAAGAACTGGCGAGACATCTGGAAAAAAAACTTACCCGCTACCTCACAGATTTTCTTCCAGATCTGGAACAGAGGAGTGTCAGTCGTGATGGTGGAGATATAAGATTTCTAACTCACACGTTTAGCCGTACAGATGGCCCTACGGGCCACCGCACTTAACTTCTGAAACAAAACAAAAAAGAAGCAGCTGTCTATCAGCGTCAGTGTTTCTTCCAGGCTGCATGCTTACAGTGGACAGCCTGAGCACAATCTACATTCCACCAGGAATGCACTTCCAAGTGCCTCGGAGGTAGAGTGAGGAGGGCAGTGTCTAATATAGTGTCATGAAACAGGAGGGGGCTCGAAAGATAGGCAGATCGGAGAGGTCGGAAGGAGTAGCATGTACGGTGAATAGATTCCAGTCAGCCTTGACAAACTGCCACCTAGGTAAGGAGAGGAGAAGGTGAAAAGAGAAAAAGGTGACAAGGATGGGGAAATGGTCAGTGTTATGGAGGTCATCAAGAACCCGCCACGTGACATCTAAATAAAGAGAAGATGAGCATAGAGAAAGACCAAGACAGGAGAGGGTGAGTGTGGGAGTCCACATGAGTAGGTTCACCAGAATTCAAGAGACAGAAGAAGAGAGGACAAATGGTTTGAGGCGGCGGCCCCGGGAGTTTGTCAGAACATTGCCCCAGTGGGTATGCTGACAGTTAATATCACCCAACAGGAGCACAGGCTCTGGTAAGGAGTCCCAAAAGTTGTTTAAGATCAGGAAGAGAAAGTGGGATATTTGGAGAGAGAAATAAAACAGACTGTACAGTATACCATTTACTCAAAAAGATACGAGTCACAGAACTCTGAATGTGACTGAAAAAGTAGGGGGACGAAGGGAATATCGGTACAAATCAGGAAAGCAGTAGAGTTATGGGCCCCAGTAAAAGCTGGAGGAGAGGGTGGGAGAAAGAATATCCACAGAAGTGACCAAAACGAGCACCAAGCATCGGCTCCAGGAGACAAAGCGGTAAAAACTGCATTATCAGAAGTTGGAGTTCGTGGCAGTTGGCATAAAATCCACGAATATTCCATTGAACAGACATTGTCAAAAATATAGAAAACAGAGAATAAGGGAGGATAAAGGCAAAGAAGAACACAGTATACCAAGTAAGATTAGGAACAGTGAAATCTGGGTTATGGGGCGTAAGTAAATCTAGTAAGGATGATGGAGTCAAGGGAACGGTAGGAAGGACAGAGGGACTGGCAGTCCGAAGTAGGATGAGGAGGCATTAGAGAGGAGCAGTCAAGGGGCCAGATTCACGAAAGCACTTACGCAAGTACTTACGAACATGTACATCTTTCCT